TGCGGTCCATCTGCAGGGCTTCCCTAAGTGGGCCATTGATTTATATTCTTCTGCAGATTTTTCAGTACCCACCAATTTAGATCTTCAGGAAGAATAAAACTAAAGAAATCTGTATTTCTCCTTTTATTTAGAAGGCCAGTCTCAATTAGAAAAGAAGATGCTAGAGAAGTTACTTTAAGGAAGGCTGTTGACATGGATTATAAATGACAAAATATGTTTGGAAATATATTTTTATTTTAATTATGACATTTGGTCTTTTAAACACCTTGAGTGTTCTGTAAAGACATTTTAATTTAGATTTCCCGTAAGTTCTCTTTATTGAGCATTTTTTGTTACAAATAGTTGTGACTTCAACTGAAGCCCATTTTTTTCCCAAATATGTTCATTGAAAAATACCCTTGAAATATATAGAAACAATTTAAATTTTCTTGTTTTATTTTAAGGATTTTTTTTCCTGAAGGGTTTTTCTTAATGTCTTACTCATAGAACCTACTACGGGCAAGGTTCTTTATTGTTGCTATATATTGTAGTCATAATTCATAAAGTATAGAGGTGAAAAATGCTGTATAAGTGACACAAAGGCTCTTCATTTTTGTAGTGTTTTGTTGTCTTTTTGAGACAGAGTCTCACTGTACAGTCAGGCTGGCCTCAAACTCACTGTATAGCCCAGACTGGCCTCAAACTTGCAATAGTCCTCCTGCCTCAGCCTTCCAAGTACTGGGATCACAGGTGTTCAGCACCACAGCCAGCTGGCTTTTCCTATTTGAATTTGTTCTGCTTGCTTACTTACTTACTTACTTACTTACTTACTTTATTTATTTATTTATTTTTTTAACTTTTTATTTTAGACAAGGTCTTGCTATGTAATTCAGGTTGACCTTATGTAACCTGGGCTTGCTTCAAACTTGGGGTGATTCCTCTGCCTCAGCCTCCTGAGTACTAGCATTAAAAGTGTCCCCCACCATGGCTGGCTGTGTGTTTTAAAATTCTATGTCTAATAATTTTAATGATTATCTACAGGGTAACAGAAACTTAATGAAAGTAATAGCAAGCATTAACTTAGGAAGTCTTTTAACATAAGACTTTAAGGTAACAACTTTTTGGTTGGGTTTTTGAGATAAGAATTATGATCTTCCCTCTAAAAATTTATCTTCCCTGTTTTTAAAAACCAACTTAAGTCCCTAGGACCTATGATGGTCTCCTGAGTGTTGAGTAGTTTTTTGGAAACTGTTAGAACTGTTAAGTTCTGTTTTCTTTCAGTTTGAGTAATGAAGGCCCATTATTATTATTATTATTATTATTATTATTATTACTATTATTATTATTATACCTGAACCCTAGAGACAGCAATCAGTCTTTCACACCCGCTTCTTGTGTCCTTCCTGCATGCCAGAAGTGCTTTGTATCCCTGTTCCTGGCCCACAGACTTTGCTTCCCAGTGCTTTTTCCAGAGTCCTGGCTCTGGGGATGATGATGGGTGCTTTTTTGCTCACATGACAGCCTGACGCACCAGATTGCTGGGCTCCAAGTACATTACTAGTAGGCTGCTGGAACTGGAATGTATGGGGCTTTTTCTCTCAAAGACTTCATTAAGGCTTAGGATGCTCACTCCAGATCAGTAGCAGACAAGTTCTGTTCTTACAAAATAAGAGGCTGGATGATCATGTTAATGTTCTTGCTGTTTCCTACAGGTTTCTACCCAGAGATTCTACCCAGTGAAGCTCCCACAGCAACGCAGGTAGATGGGGCTGACCTGGCCTCTCCAATGTCTCCTCGAACTAGCAAAAGCCGCATGTCCATGAAACTGCGTCGGTCCTCTGGCTCGGCCAATAAATCCTAAGGAGACAAGCAGCTCAACAGTGTGATCAGCAGTAGCCACCTTAGCATGAACATAGTGTTAACCCTTTCAGGCCTTCATAGCTACCATGCCGTGCATGTTCCCTCCTGTACGTTTTTTGAGAAAACACTGGACTTAAATAACTTGTATCTTAATATTTTAGATTTCGGCTATTTATTCAGTTCATTTTTCCCCTACATTCCAAACTGCTATTTTTTTTGAAGGGTGGAGTTTTATTCTGTGCTCTTTACCTTCCTAAATACTTATGTCTAAGTAATTTTACCTTTAATTTCATAATTAATATTGAGCCAAAATATAATTGAACAGATAGTCTCATTTTATTTATTGTGTCCCATTGCAGCTTAGTGGTTCAATAAATATATAATTTTTTTACAAATGTAAAATTAAACTTAAGCATTTGTAAAGTTAAAGTTAACAGATCTGTTAATAAACAGGATATGTACAGATTATTTATGTCACAAAAATAAAGCACTCAAAATTAAATGGTCATTTAGTATCTCAAATTTCAACTGAAGTAATTTTAATGTTAACTTTTTCTTCTCAAGATATTTTCTCATTTCTTAACTGTAGATGATGCCATCATATCAGGTAATTAGAAAAATCACTGCTGAACTTTGATTTGTTTAGCTTCAAGTAATTTTCTATTTGCTTTTTTAAAGGTACCACCATTAAATATTATTTGTTTTGCAATTGTGGCCCATTAATATTAACTGATAGGTCCTGGTATATCTATATGCTTTATAAGTACCAAAAATAAGGTGATGGGAAGGAGGAAAAAACTTTTCTGGTATAAATATGTTGCTGAAATTATGTGTGTTATAGTAAAAGAAAAGGGAACATGCCCCAGGAATCTAAGTTAAATCTACTACTGTTCATACTGAACTTGCATGTGCGAGTTGGTAGACATTCCGACCTCCAAAAGCATTTCCCTCTAGTAGACAAGCTGCTCACATTTTGTTAAAATTGAGCATCTCCTAAGGAAATGTAGCATGACGTCAGTACCAACTGCATGTGTAAATACATCATACTGGCAAACCACGGAATACAAATTATGTATCATCATTCATGTAGTGTCTACAAATTTGTAACAATGGGGGGGATAAAAGAAAGATGACATGGTATTTAATAAAACAAAATATTCTTACTATCACTTCCTGTCCATTTTCTTATGTATTTTATAATTTTAAGATTTTAACTTAATAAGCAGGGCTATATGACTGTTGGTGACATAGTAAGCATACACTTAAGTTATCTTAGGTAATTACGAAAAATGAATTTAAATTCCCTTTTCAGGATACCCTCCAGCCTGCTTCTCAGATCCTACCACCGCTTTTTTAAAAAATAAGAAATTTTGTAGCTTTGCCAGTGCTGACCAAAAACTTCACCCAGGGCACTAGATTAAAACATCAGTTTGTCTCAACTGCATGTTGTCCGATCTCTTAAATTTCACATTGTTTTATTGAGAAATAAAACTCCTAAATTTTTCTAAAACAATTTTTCAGAGTTCCTGTGAACTTAATTTTTTGTTTTCATATACTTAAAATCAAACTCCCAATTAATAAGTGGGTAAATAAGTTCCACCCATTTAAGATTGGAAGTAAGATTTAAACATAGACAATTTCCCACTGTTAAGGTGGAGAAATATAAAAAGGAAAATCACATTTAGCTGCTTACATGTTTCTAAGGTGCTTTCATTTTATTTTAAATAAGCATCTAATGGATCAATAATATGTCATAAAATAAGCTGAAAATACCAACTTGAAATATTGAAATAAGTACCACTAAACTTTTTGTCATCTTCAAATAACAGCTCTTTTTACAGAAAATATTTAAAATACAGTTCTATCAGTTTGTGCGAGGAGTATCTTTCTAGACTTAACATATTCTGCTTTTTAAAACTTCAGTCTATGCCACTATACCTCAAAGGAAAATTTCTTATTGCATATCCGCACCTTTACATTCATTTGTAAAATATATCTCCTGCTTTTGTATTCTAAATGGATCCTAAGATTCTAAGAGGCATTAAAATCACTGGCATTGGGGAGATAAGAATTGTGGCTTTGAAAATACGCCATGTTCAAGGGATTCTTAAGACAAATACAAAACAAAAAGCAGTCTATTTACATTTATTTGGTGATAAGCGTCTTACAGAGCTGAGCTACCTGTCAAGCAGTGCACAGCCAGGGCCCCAAACTAGGTATTAGGGGAATGGGGACAGTACACTGAATACAGTTTACAAAAAGAAATTCATAAGTTGCTGCTGGAAAGAAAATACTGAATATTGAGTAAATTGCCATTCAGTTTTACAGGTATTAACATCTTTAAAAGCTGAACAGTTTCATACATAATATACAGTATGAGATTTACAACACTAAATGATGTGGGGTGAAGCCTTAAAAACAGATTTCAGGAAAGTTCAGTATTTCCAAAAAGCTATGTAAACATTTAACGTCACTTCCTGAATACTGCACACAAAAACAGCAAAAGGTAAGAACTTGGAGGGTATCTCCTGCCAGTAGAATAGCACCCTCTCTGCCTCCAAAATCTAATGCAAGAATGTAGTAGTACATATAATTAAAAGGTTTGAGGAGATTCAAACAGAGCAGCAAACATCCTCTTAAATTTCCTGCCCATGGACACAGGACTTGAGTCTTCTCGCCCTGTAAGTTTGGCACCAACCACCCAACTTGTAATTCACAGAACATACAATGCAAGATACCTGACCCTATTGAGACAGAGACTACATAGGTGCCTGTGCTGGCAAGAGAAAAACAACAAAATATGACTACCACTTCTGGTAGCCAGAACCTTTTGTAGACATTGAGACATGCACGCATTCACTGTGACTTTCCATAGGAATTACAAATCGTGTAGGATTCGTTAGGGTCTCCAGAGTTTTGAGGGGGAAAATCCTATTTTAGTGGGAAAAGTAAAAGGGATTTTACATCTGAGAGCCTCGACCATGAATGTTTATACCATATACATACCTGCGCTCCCCGGGTGGGACATTGACTACTAGAGTTTTAGGAGGGAAAACATGAGAAGGAAAGAGTAAAACTTGCAAGTTGAAGAAACCCCACAGAAGTTCCTATGATCTGTTTTCTCCCAGGCCAGCCTTGAAATCGTCCTGATTTCTCGGACCTCAACAGCCAGGCCGCAATGGCATCTGCAGCAACAATACTTGGCGACTTTCTGAGGGGTGGCACTTATTGATGTGCCTGGTCAGTCCCGGGGAACTAAAAAAAGTGGACGGGCAGTGCTTGCACGAGAAAATTTGCTGCGCACCTCCGTCAGATGCCCCTCCGGGACCAGGCACTTCGGGAGGAGCCCCCGCCAGAGCAGGCAGGAAAAGCTCCTCGCGGACAGCATGCCACAACCGGTGCTTCTCTCTGATATCTGCGGACGGGAAGTGCGCCCCACACAAGGGGCAGGCGAAGGCGAGTGGGGCCCTGCGGTCTGAGCCAAAGCCCGGGGCCAGCGCGCGAGCCGAGCCCGCCTCGTGAGTGCCCAGGTGTTTGCGCAGGTACGCTTGGCGACGGAACTTTTTGTGGCAGTACGGGCACACAAAGATTTCCGATACCGTGCCACCACCCGCATTACTCGGCCCAGGCACCCGACGCCCCAACACGCCCTCGGTGTACGGAGCCTGTGGCAGCGGCGGCTCCAGGCGCGGCAGCCCCGGGAGGGCCTGGCGTGGGTCGCTGTCCCGGTGCTGATCCTCCCTGGAGCTGTCCTTCGCCTGAGGGTGCTGATCCGCAGTCCGCTCGGCCCGGCTGTTCTCCTTGCCCTCGGCCAGGAAAGGCGCGAGGGAGGCAGAATCCGGCGAGGACGAAGAGGACGGAGGCGGCTTCCCGTCGGCGGAGGACACTGTGCTTGCGGCCTGGGGACGTGGCTTGTGCCAGCGGCGATGGGACGCGAGGTTCGCGGGGCAGCTGAAGACCTTGTCGCACTCGGGGCAGCGGTACTCGACGCGCACGATGCGGGAGCAGCGGTGCTGGGCGAGCGCAAAGGGGTCGGCGTACTGCTCCTTGCACAGCTGGCAGATGAACTCCCCCAGCGGCGTGCGGCTGCCCGCCAGGCCCCGGGACGGCGCTCCGGGCTCCTCCTCCTTGATCTTCAGGCCCAGGACTGGCGACGTGGTCACCTCGTCGGCAAAGCTCAACTTCCTCATGGCCTTTGGCTTCTTGATGCCCGCGGCCGCCGGCCCTGGCGCGCAGCCCGCGGGCAGCTTGACCCGGCGCTCGCCCGCGGCCGCCCGCTTCAGGCTGTGCAGGGCGGCTGGGAGGAGCGCGGGCTCCGGCTGCAGCGCGGGCTCCGGGAACGGCGCCCGGAGCGGCAGGAGGAACGTCTCCGCCGGGGAGGGCGCGGCGGCCGGCGCCCCCGAGCAGGAGAAGGTGCCCAAGGCGGCGGCGCCCCCGGGGAAGGACTCCGCCGACGCGGGCGAGCTGAGGCAGCGCTCCAGGAACGCGCGGCGGAGCTCGGCGCCCGCGGGCTTCGCGGGGCTGCGGCTGGGCCCTGGGCCCTCCGTGTCCTCGGCCCGCCACCCCGCGCCCTCCCGCCCGCCTGTCCCCGGGCTCACCCCCGCAGCCCGACAGGGCGACCCCGACAGTTCCCGAGCAGTCTCCGCAGTCCGCCCCCGGGCGTGGGGACTCGCGCGCTCCGCTCCCGGCAGGGAGGCGCTGGGGACCTCGGCGGCGGCGGGCGGCGCCACCTGGGGCCCCGGCGGAGGCGGGACCCGCTCGGCGTGGCGCGCTCGGTACGAGCCGCCCGGCCGTCTAGTTCGCTTCACCAGGAAGCCCCGCGGCATGGTGGAGCCGGAGCGCTCCGGCGCCCGGAGGGCTGGAGGACGCGAGGGCTGGGAGCGGGCGCGCCCCGAGCAGCACGAGCTTCGCCGCGGCGGGCATGCCCCGGCTCCCTTTATAGCTGAGACGCGGCCCGACCGCCCGCTGGCCGCGCCGACCAATCAGGAGTGGGAGCGGGCGCCGGGGGCGGGGCTTCAGCGGGGCTCGTGCGCGCCCGGCGCACCCCGCCCTCGCGCGACGCCGCGGGCAGGCGAGTCTCCGCGGCCGTCTGTGGGGAGCCGGGCGCACCTGCGACCCCACGACGCGCCAGGAGCCGAGCCGAGCGGATGTGACTTCCCACTCCCACCTGCGGCCACGCGGAGAATTCAGACTCAAACTCAAGTCCGGCTCCTTCTAGGTCTGAGGTGCGAAGGTCCCCCGCGCTGCGGGCGGCCGCCAGGAACGGGTTAATGTCCGGAGGAGAGGCCGCGGCGGGGCTGTGGAGAGGCCGCGGCGGGCAGCGGCGTCCCCGCCCTGCGCCCGCTCTTGACGGCGGGACGCGGCTGCCATCCTGTATCGATCGCCCGCGCGCTGCGACGCCCGAGGCTCCATCTGCGGAGAAGGGCTCTCGGCGGCGCGTGCGTGCCTGCCGGGTGGCTGAGTGCCCCTCCCCGAGGGCAAGCGAGTGGGGCGGGAAGGGATCTAATTTTCCGCTGCCCTCACTTAAAGTGGTTTCTCTGCTCACACTTGCCACTTGTGCAGCCCGGAGACATGACTTAATGCCTGCCCGGCCTGTTTAGCATGGAGGAGATTGAGTGAGAAATGCTGCTGGCGGCGGCGTCGCCTCGGCCTCCCAGTGCACCGCGGGCGACACTTTGCAGAAGAGTACTGCAGACCCATCTCGACAGCCCTCCCTCAGCCCCCTGCCGCGTGCCCAGCGCCAGCTAGGAAGCAGCAGCGGCCTGGACAGGCTGGCTAAGGATGGGGTAGTTAGACAGCAGGTGGCAGAAGTGCCCAGATCCGAAATATAGGTAAGAACAGTGTGAGAACAGGAAGGAACTCTGTTCACCCCCTCCTTGCCAAACCAAAATGAAAAAGACCCAGGCAGGTATTTTTAAAACAGGGGAGGCTTGGGCCAGCCAGATAGCTCAGAGAACTAAAGTGCCTACTTAGGCAGAGCGAGGCAGCTGTGCTGGCCCCGCCCCCGGGGCGCACTGAACAGCAATTAACACGGTGTAGTGCCGTGAGGCTGTAGTCCCAGCACTTGGGAGGCTGAAAAGAGGAGAATCACTACAAGTCCAATCTACGTAGTGAGACCCTGTACTACATACATTTTTTTAAAAATAAATTAAATAAAAATAAAAGAGGGGAGGCTGAAAACAGGAGGATCACTACCAGTCCAAGCTGCATAGTGAGACCCTTACCAAATACATTTTTTTTTTAAATGCAATGCCCAGTAACCTAGTCATCAATAGAAGATTGTCTTCCCTCTTATTAATGAAGGTACTTTATATGGATGGAATTATTTGGAAGAAGGATCAGAAGTAATTATATGTTAATTAATCACTGGCTAGGCATTAAGCATTCTGCTTAAGTAATCTCTTTTCCACACAAGAATGCAAGATATTATTACTCTTCTCAACCAGTGAATTAGCCAGGGAAGTAGGTACCATAACTGGCAAGTCACACAGAAAACCTAGGTACAAACCCAGGTCTGTCTAATCCCAGAGTCTGGACTCTTTCCACTATACCAATGGCTTCAAATTATTTTTTTCTTAATCATACCCCACAATAATATGTAGGTCCTATGTTACATATATAACAAAATAATCACAAAGACATACTTCCCATAACCAAGTGTAATGCACACTTGCATTTTCAGTTTAGTTCTATTGTTTGTCTTTCATACTGGGAATTGAGCCTCAGCCCTTGAAATGAGCTATATCCCTCCTGTTTTTATATTTATTTCTCATTAAGTCACCCAGGCTCGGTTTGAACTTGTAATTCTCCTACCTCAGCTTCACAGAGTGCTGAGATCACAAACATGTACAACCACACCTGGCCGTATTCCCTTTAATAATGATCACAGCAAACAAACTGATTTCGGAACTAATGGATTACAGTACAGTTAGGTTGTTTTCCATTAAGTAGCATGAAATTGGGCCAGGGAGATTGCTCAGTGGAATAAGCACTTCCCTGGCAAGCGCAAGGGCATGAGTTCAAGCCCCGGTTCCACAAAGGAAAAAAAAATAGCATGAAATTGAACAAAATAATCCCATAAACCTAATGCTTTATAATAAAAATTAATATTCTGAGTCAATATTTAAGATATTTGAAGGCCAGTTTTGATGGTGTACACCAGTAATTGCCACATGAGGAAGGCTGAGAGGCAGGAGTATTACAAGTTTCAACTCATGTTTTTAAAAAAAAAAAAATTAAGTCCTTTAATAACATTGGTGTATTTTGCTTACCATATTGATCATTTCTGACATGTCAGTATGTCAGTTTATGTAACACTTTTAATAATTTTTTAATGTATTTAGTTGTTGCAGGATCTTGCTATGCAGCTTGGACTCATGGTGATCGTCCTGCTTGCAGCCTCCCCGGCACTGATATCACAGGCGTGGCCACCATGTCCTGACTCCAGCCAGTTCTTCACACCCTCGGGGCAGGGCTGGCACAGCATGCACTTCCCTAAGCTTGCCTAAGCAGGCGCTTTTGTCTGCTGAGCTATCTCGCTGATCCCAATGTAAAGCTTCTAATTCAAATTTTTCTCAGTTTTCCTTTCTGTTCCTGACCCAGATGTCTTATGTGATTTGAAAAATTTGATGTAAAAATTTTAATACTTTAAAATATCTCCTTTTTCCAGGGGGCTTGCGGGTTAGCTCAGTTGTTTAAGCACCTGCTTAGGCAAACCCAGTCAGGCACAGGGGACCGTAGTTTGATATCCAGACCTGGCCCTGAACCAGCCAAAGGAAAAAAAAAAATCTTTCTCAAAATATCTTCTTTTCAGAGTGCCTTTTCTCCAGAGGCATAGTACTGTACTTTGTAAGAACTTCTGTCATATAATTTCTACCAGAGCCAGTAGTTAGTTCCATAGCTGTCCCTTTCCATTGGCCCCAAATGTAATTTATTTTTTGTTTTTGTTTTGTTTTTTTGAAACAGACTCTTGCTGTGTAATTTAGACTGGCTTTGAACTCATTGTGTAGCCCAGGCTGGCCTCAAATTCACAGGAATCCTCCTGCTTCAGCCTCTCAAGTGCTGGGATTACAGGTACATGCCACCATGCCCAACTTAAAGTGTAATTTAATAGCAGTCTTTCTGGAAATTGGAGCAGTGGTGTATATAATTTAAAACATATATATCTTTAGTCCACCATTTGTTCTTTTAGTGAGACATCTAAGAGCAAAGATTTATGCACAGTGCTATTTGCCACACTGTTATTTGTAATTGTACATAATTAGAAATTATCTTGAGTAACTCATGGTGAATGACTAGGTGACAATAGGAATCCAATTACATTGGCAAGTATGTATATAACAACAATAAGCAAAAATCGAAAATTGTAAAGTTGACTAAGAGTCAGTTATAAAAGAACATAATGCATAAAACACTGGAAGGAAATATACAAAAATGCTATAATGGCCCCTAAATTAGTAGGAATAGGACCATCGTTTTGGTTTTTAAAGTTTTTGTTAAATATTCTGCCATAAGTATATACAGTATTACTCTGGCAATACACACTCATGATATAAAAACTGCCTTAAATCCTTTCCGGTGTTCAATGTGCTAACCCTTTCCCCAGGACACCACAACACCTGCTGGAGAATTGTACATGTAAGTATTCTTCAGGTCCTGCTGTTTGAAATCTGATCCCCACAAAGAGGTGACATGTTTCTACCATGCTGTCAGCTGTCATGCCATCAGCCTTCCAGTTGAAGAAACCTTTGGGGAGAGACTAGGATTGAAATCTGGGGACAGAAAGAATTTAGACACTTAATCCCACTCAAATAAGACCCTAGAGCAGTGGTGGTGAACCTATGGCATGGGTGCACAGCCAGCTGTTTGTGTCCTTGAAATCTCTAAAAGGTTCACTATCACTGGCCTAGATCATCCTACAAAATAGAAACACTTCTTTTTGAACTCTCTTACTTAGATGTTACAATAAATAGAACAGTGTCAGGCATCATGAAGTCTTTGTTTATCTACATGCTTTCTCTTGACACTGACTTTTCCCCCTTAAAACTTCTGGTCCTGAAATCATAGTGCATATAAAACAGGCTCAGATGACTAAACTTTTTAATCACTTGCATAGTCTAGGGTACTACTCAGGGGAAATTTATTCCTGCCTGTCACCTCTACCTACACACATCAGTAGCAGCTACTAGAGTCCTGGGGTCCCCACAAACTTGTAAAGTCAACCTTCTCTCCCAAATGTAAAACTGCATGCTTGACTTGCTCTCCTAACTCCAATCCCATCTCATTCATTGTCTTCAGATCAGTAAATGGCACTTTCATTCAATTAGCTACCAGGCCAAAACCCAAAAACTTTTGGCTCAAGCTAAACACTTGATAATCAACCCACTGAGGAGTCTTACCAATTCTCTTTAAAGTGTTTCCTGAATACAGACAGTTCTTAGACTATCAGCGTACTCCACTTGGTCTTTTGCATTCATCCCTGCTACCTTGTAATGTAATCTTCTTAACAGCAAGATGGATTCTTTTAGAATACAAATCTGATCATTTCATTCTTTGGTTCAAAATCTTTGACTACCTTCCCATCACATTAGAATAAAATCCCAAGGGCCAGGGAGATAGCTCAGTAGAATAAGTGCTTGCCTGGTAAACGCAGGATCCTGAGTTCAATCCCCGGTACTGAAAAAAATAAAATAAAATCCAAGCTCTCATTAGTCCTTGGCTATTTTTTTTTTCTCAAGTAAAAGGTCAATAGCCAGTGATTTCTTCATTGAATATTTATGTAGAACTCAATATTTTCCCAATACTGCTCTAAATACTTTTTTAAAAA